TCATTTTCATAAGTCTGGTCCATGTAAACGTCACGGAAGTTTTTTAGTAATTAAAGATAGTATCCAGACGTTGTGTTCCACAGAGCATTATTGTATCATCACAAGGTAAGTGTAACAAGGTAAGTGTAGCAAGGTATCCTTGAGAAAAGTGATTATTTATTTAAACACAAGGTAAGTGTAACAAGGTATCCTTGAGAAAAGTAATTATTTATTTTTATTGCATCAAGTGCAAAAGTGGCTCCCGACAGTTTTGGAATGGAGCTAAGAAAAAAATTATTTGCGGTTACGTAAGTGGAATGTCATCCATCAAGATCCATCAAGAAGTATATCATCAGTCTGGATATCATAAGTCGAGATACAAAAGTAATTAAAGCTGCCTGTATCAGACCAAACAATCAGACGACGTGCTGTTTTCTCGACGCCTTACAAAGAAACCGCTTATTTCACAAAGAACCAGAGGAAAAGACTCCTGTTCGCTAAACCTCATATTAACTGGAATGTGCGGAAATGGCGAAATGTCCTGTTCAGTGATAAATCGAAGTTCAATATCATTGGAATTTGCCGAGTACGTAGACTGGCGGAAAAAGCCTCGATTTACGTTACTGGCATAACACCGTGCAGAATGGTGGAGGCAATGTAATGGTCTGGGGGTGTTTTTCTGCTAACGGTTTAGGTCCAATACATCGAATCAATGAAATAATGGACCGTTTCATGTATAAAAATATCCTGAAAGATTTTATGTTACCGCATGCTGAATGGAATATACCAATAAAATTGGTTTTTCAGCAAGACAACGATCCGAAACACACTGCAAAAGTAGTCAAGCAGTGGTTTCAAGACAACTACCTATTAATGATGGATTGGCCGTCTCAATCTCCGGATCTCAACCCTATCGAGAACCAGTCGGAGATCGTCAACCGCTGAATTAATCGTGAAGGTGTTCGTAATAAGGATCAACTGTTTGAACAAATCCAAAAGACCTGGGAAGCGATTCCACAAAGTTTTATTGAACCCCTGATCGAATCTATGCCTCAAAGATGCAAGGCTGTGAGCAACAACAAAAGATTCGCCACGAAATATTGATAGCGAAATACAGCTTGATCAACATTTTGTCGAGTTGCTCTTGTTCTGTCCAGAAGGAAATTAAATTTTTTTAATACTTTTGATTAATTTATTAATTTTCGTGTACAAATAATGAACTTTGCGATGAATAAAACTTTAAGAACGTTGTCTTTAAGCAGTTACATAATTGTCTAAATTGAAAAAATGCAGCACTTTTATATAAAGAAACTAAATTAGCATTATTTGGTTGCACTTCTTTTGTCTAATACTATATATATATATATATATATATATATATATATATATATATATATATATATATATATATATATATATATATATATATATATATATATAAATATATATATATATATATATATATATATATATATATATATATATATATATATATATATATATATATATATATATGTATATATTTATATATATATATATATATATATATATATATATATATATATTTATATATATATATATATATATATATATATATATATATATATATATATATATATATATATATATATATATATATATATATATATATATATATATATATATATAAAAATTGACATTTTAGATTTTAAAAAAGTCTCCAAGGGAAAGTCTATAAATTGCGTAAAGCAAACTTTTACAATAAACAACACAAAAAAGAACAAAAGTGCTCCCTCGCAGAGTCTTAATTTAAATAAAAAGTCAGAATAACCCATTAAATTTAATAAATTTCGCCGCTCAAAAGAGCTGAATATCTTTAACTTCTGTTTTTAAAATATACTTTACGTTGCGTTATTTATGGATGACCCTTAAACCTAAAATATTGAATTACCTTTAAATTCTCTAACTAATTATGGACCTAACAGTGTTATAGTCCTTATATGGACCATTTTTGGAATTTTTTTACAAATGCAGTAAAAAATAAGTTTGAGGTTATCTCTGATGTTTTCATGCAACTTTTTGACTAATTTTCAGAAAAAATTAGCTGCCATTTAAATTTTTATTTTTTTAAATTTAATTTAAAAAACTAACTTTTAATAAAGACTTTATTTTGTGGAAATGTTAAACATCTGTGTTTCCTGATGGAAAACGATAATAACAGGCATAACGGCAAATTAGCATAAATGCGACGAATAAATTTGCAAATTTTGGCATAAGTGCGAATTGGCATAAGTGCGAACTGGCATAAGTGCGAAGCAGTTACAAAAACTGGCATAAGTACGAATCGGCTTAAGTGCCCCGAATAAAGTTTCAAATATTGGCATAATTGCAAATTAGTATTTCGCACTTATGCCAATTCACACTTATGCCAGTTCGCACTTATGCCAATTATTGCGAATTTATTTGGCGCACTTATGCCAATTTTTTTGCAGTTTTTTCAGTTTTGCAATTTGCAGTTATGTCAGTTCGCGCTTATGCCAGTTTTTGTAACTGCTTTGCACTTATGTCAGTTCGCACATATGCCAATTCGCATATATGCCAATGTTTGCAAACTTGTTCGGCGCACTTATTCCAACTCGCACTTATGCCTGTTTGCATTTGTGCCATTTTTTGTAACTATATCGCACTTATGCCAGTTCGCATATATGCAAAATTGCACTTATGCCAATGTTTGTAAAATGTTTTGGCGCTCTTATGCCAATTCGCACATATGCCAGTTCGTACTTATGCCAGTTTTTGCAACAATTCGCACTTATGCAAGTTCGCACATATGCCAATTTGCGCTTACGCCATTCGCGGTTATGCCAGTTCTTATGAAATTCGCGCACTTATAAAAAAGTTAACAGAATTTTCAAATACAGATTTATAAGTTTTTGAATTTTTCATACATATGTTGGTGTCTATTTCAAAAAACTGTGTTTCTCTTATTTTAAAGACATTTAATCTCTCGATTTATATCAGCATTGTCAAACAAACCATTTTCTCATATGTGATCCAAATGAATTTGTTAATGAAAACTAATTCATATCCAGCTAAGGTAAACGGTGGAAAAGATCGTCGGCATATGCCAAAAGATTCAAAAAGTTTCACCTATATTACATCAAATATGCATATTCATAATGTTTAAAATTAGTGTTCTTATATAAAATATGAACAAATGCGGTAAAAGAATTCCAGCTTGCTCTACACCGTTTTTTATGTTAAAGCATTCAGAGTTTACTTTCTGCCATTTGACAAACATAGTTTGATTCTTGTACCAAGATGCAAGTATTAAGACAATATTCTTGACAATACCCTGATCAATTAAATTAGAAAACAACTTCCAATAATTAACGCTATCAAAAGCTTTGTTGAAATCTTAAAAGTATTTGAATACTTGCCTTCCAGATTTCAACATAACTAGATATACCTTGTATCAAGTTATATTATTCTGATACGAGGTATCAGTTTATTTTAAACCTTGATGTTTAGTTCAAGGATATCTTAGCCTGATTTTAAAAACATCAAAGTAAAAGTAAGGTGTAGATGTATATAGTAGTTCTATTGGTTTAAGGTTAAGTTATAATATTGGTTTAAAATTAAATTATTATATATGCTGAAGATTGAGTTTAGATAAGCTATTTAATCCTAAACATATATAAAACTAGGCTGCTTAAGCTGTGCAAATTACAATGTGTGTAGATTTATGAAATAGAATTTACAAATTAGATGAAAACAGAACATGATAAATTGATAGGGCAATATGATAAATTGATAGGGCAGTATCAATTTTTTACCTTTTTTTTTTAGGTATTGACAGGCTGTACTTGACAACTTACCTTCCTGCATTGAAATTAAAAGAATCTTAAACTACAACCCAATTGACAATAATTTTCAAAGCAGTATTTTCTAAGAAAAATTTTCTTTTTATTTTATTTACTAATTAAATTAATTGTATTTCATAATTTCTATAAATTAATTTACAAAAATTTACTTTTAAATAATTATTTTCCATTTAGATTTTTAGTTTTAATTTTTATTCTGAAGTATAATTATAATTGGAGTGCCGAATTTTTTAAACAATTTTGTAATGTTTTATGCAAATATAAACTCAGTATTAGGTTATTAATATGAGAGCATAATCTAAAGATATAATTATAAATTGTAGGATGAAGTACATAGACCAATGATCCATATTGTTTACTTATAAGTCAAATTTATCGCAAAATGTCTGCATCGATAGAAACCACTTGCAAAAACTTGAGATATTGATTGGTCTATTAAAATTTTATTGTCATTTTACATGGTTTCCATTAACTATAGTTTTAAGTGTAAAAACACGCGCAAACTGGCAATTAGGAGATTTTTGAACAAAAAATAACGCCGTGTTTAAGCAACCTCATATTACACAAAAAAGGTGTTTTTAAATGAAAGGAGCCGATTTATACCTAACATAATTTTTTTGATAAAAAATTTAATATCTACATTTCTGCATCAAAGTTTTGAACCACAGATTTTTTTATGTGTAATTAAAATAATTTAAAATCACAAAAACTTAAGTTGAGTTTTAATTAGCTGAAAACCGTAAATTATTGCGTGTAAATTTACGCTATTTATACTGCTTTCTTTTATAACCTTATAAAGTCAGTTAAAAAAAAACTATGCAACTTGAACTTGATTGCTCGCAACTTATCTTTTGGTATGCTCATATTACCTCGGTGCTCAAATTACCCGAGCCTACCCTATAGAAGATTTTTACCACATTCTTTTACACAAAGTCAATAACAAACTTTTTTACCTTAATATAGTAAATCATTTACACGTGATTATTAAAAATATGATTCACATAATTTTTAACTGAAGTGTCATATTTCGTATCATAAATTTTTTCCCTTTAATGGTAAAAATAGTCATCATAGTTTAGTTAAAAATCAAACATACATTGTATTATCGACAAATAAAAACATCTAAATAAACAAGGTTTTTTTCTCAACGATTAAATACTTCAATTAATTTTATTATTTAAAATTCAAAACGTTTATTTCAAGTAAACTAATATGTTAAAAAGTGTGTGCTTATAAACACAGCTCTAATTTTTATGTATAATTATATCTAATTGCATGTGAAGGTATTTGTATAATATATGAGGTAAAATTATGTAATATTACAGTTTTTATTGTTGTTAGTTTTTTTAAACTATTTTTATAACATTGATTTATACTTTATATCATTTTTTAACACAACTGCTTTTCAAAACTAAATCAAAAAGATTGTCATAAATTTAGTTGTTTTATGGGTAATTTTTTTATATTAACACCCTTTTTTTTTATTTCTATGTTTCAATGATGCTTTCATTTATCAGTAGTAGTAGTAGTAGTAGTAGTAGTAGTAGTAGTAGTAGTAGTAGTAGTAGTAGTAGTAGTAGTAGTAGTAGTAGTAGTAGAAGTAGTAGTAGTAGTAGTAGTAGTAGTAGTAGTAGTAGTAGTAGTAGTAGTAGTAGTAGTAGTAGTAGTAGTAGTAGTAGTAGTAGTAGTAGTAGTAGTAGCAGAATATAAATGATAAACATAAAAATTGTGAATGTATGATATCACAAAATAAAAAATTAGTATTAGTGTTTATATAAATAGGTTTACATCTCAACATATTTTAGATATAAAAAAAAAAAAAAGGAAAAAAAAATTCATGACACTTTTAATTGTTTTTTTTTTCCAGATCTTTAAAAGTGTCTGTTAAAACTGAACTTAACGGTCAGTTCAAAGAAGACGCGATATTTCTTTCATTTATTTGTTCGTGTTTCATAAAAGTTCTTTTTCTCAGTCCTACGTTTTTCAACATCGTAAAATGTTCAAACAGGTTGGTTATAAAGACAACAAAACAGGTTAGTTAAAAGTTTACATACATACACACATATACATATCTATACATACATAAATTCAAAGATACAAACTTTTATATACACGTAAACCAAAACACATATTCATACATATACACGTACACATATACGTATATATATGAATAAATGCATACATAAACACATGTACAAAAATATATACATATACCTACTTACGTAATTTTTTTATTTTTTTATTTAATTTTATTTACATATATATATATATATTTATATATATATATATATATATATATATTTTTTATATATATTTTTTGATTTATTATTAATATTATTATTTTTTCTTTCTTTAATTAATTTTTATTTACAACTTTATTATAAATAATCGTATTATAATAACAAGAATTGTTTAGCATGATATACGTTTTAAAAATAAAGTATATAAAGTTTTTTGAATTCGTAATGAAAGAAAAAAAATAAGAAAAAAAACTTTCATGAAATGCAAACATTTGCATTTTAGGTTGATAGAACACACGCTATATAAAAATGTTTATTTTCAGAGGCTCAAAAACTCATTTTAAAAACAAAGTTCAAATTAAATTGTATTTTTACTTTATTTTCCCTTGTATTCTCTTGAGTAACAATAATTACTTGGTGTTTTTTAAATTGTTAAGTTCACAAAGTACATTTCATTAAGTTTTGTTTACGAAAGATTAAATACTAAATTATTATAGTGTAACATAAAACTTTATTCAAAAATATTTTCAAAACTAGTTTAATTTTATACATAAAAACTTTTTTAAATTTAATAATAACGCGCTGCATTTAAAAAAAAGAAAAAAGTTTAGTAAGAAGTAGAAACTTTTTACTTAATAAATGATATTAAATTTGTTTTAGTTAAAATAATTATTTTTTATAATACATCTAACTGTACGTCTATTTTTAGGAATTCAATCTTTATCAGAAAATTTATTTTCACGCAAGAAACTACTTTGCGAAATTCAACATTTTTTTTTACAAGATGCAAACAACTCAACTTTAGTATTATATGGAATGTCGGGTGTCGGAAAAACACATATTGCAAGAGAATATTGTGAAATATCTTATAACTTATATAAAAACTTTGTTTGGATTGACGCAGCATTTGGAATGTTACAAACTTCAATAAGAAACCAATGTCAAATATTAGGATATGAGGTTCATGATTCAAAAGGAGAATATTTTAATATAAAAGTGATTGTTGAAAATATTCACAACTATTATAAAAATGAAAAGACTTTGTATATTTTTGACAATGTCGACGATGAAAGTGTTAAAAATTTATCAATGTACATTTCAAAAAAGGCGAATTCATTCACGTTGATTACCTCCCAATGGAGAACTTGGTCAAATAATGTAAATAAAATGTTAGTTGATATTTTTTCTTTAAAAGAAGCATTTACTTATGTAAAAAAAAATATTAAAGAAAACAGGGCTTCAAAACAGAGTTCTTGGGGCACCTAATTTAAATTAATTAAAAAATGAAAAATAAAAAATGTTCCGGGTGTCCAAGTACTTTCTTTTTTTTTTCCATCTCTTCTAAGCTTACTAATCCAGTGCTTTTATTTAATTATATTGAAATTTACTAATATTGACATTTGTAACTTTTGGAATTTTTAGCTCGGATGCATTATTTTATCAACAAAATGATATTCACGCCGAGGAAGCATTTACTTATGTAAAAAAAAATATTAAAAAAAAAGCGACGAAAACATAAAAATCTTAATTAAAGAACTTGGTTATCATCCGTTTGCAATTACTCAAGCAATAAAATATATAAATATACACAAAATTTCGATAGAAAAATATATTGATCGATATAGATCGAAACCATCAGAAATATTAGACAATAATAACTTTCCAACCGAAGAAGAATCAAAGTCGGCAATACAAGCAATTAACTAACGCCGAAGAGTGACACGGCGTGAACTTCCAAATAAATGCTCATCCGCGGTGCTCTGTGACAAGACCGTTTGGACTTCTTGGGGCACCTAATTTAAATTAATTAAAAAATGAAAAATAAAAAAAGTTCCGGGTGTCCAAGTACTTTCTTTCTTTTTTCCATCTCTTCTAAGCTTACTAATCCAGTGCTTTTATTTAATTATATTGAAATTTACTAATATTGACATTTGTAACTTTTGGAATTTTTAGCTCGGATGCATTAGTTTGGGCGTCCACACTAGTCAATTTCACAAATATAATTATAAACTGCTTGTAGACTTATGAATTTTAATATTAATTACTTAAAATTAATTTATTTTTATTTCTTGATTTAAAACAAAATAAATTTAATTAAATTCTTAAAAAAAAAAATTATTTTGTTATTTAGTTTTCTTAGTTTTAGTTCTTAGATTTCTTATTTTACTTTTTCTTCTTACTGTTTCTATAGAAACCATATAAAATATAAAAAAAAAAAAACCATATAAAATATAAAAATTAACAAATATTTCATTTGCTTTGCATATAACAAATCAACTTAATTAAAATTAATTAAATTATTTAACTTATTGCAAACCTAATAATCAAATATTGTATTGTCATCAAGCATGAGTATGTATGCAAAATTTGAAGAAAATCTTTCATCAAGAAGTGACTCAAAAATTGATTACGAGATTTGATGTTAACAGACAGACAGCGACGAGGAAAAAAATTGGGAAGAATAAGAAGAAAAAGTAAAATAAGAAAACTAAAAGTAGTTAATAATAATAAAAATATTAAAAAAAAAAAATTTTTTTAAATTTATTTAAGTTTATTTTGTTTTAAATAAGGAAATGAAGATCAATTATTTTAAAGTTTTAATTTTTCAAACTCATTCACAACACACACATGACTTCAATTCCATTCACTGACTGAATCAAAATAGTACATGTAGCAGTAAAACAATCATAACAAAGTTGTATAAATAACATAATAAATCACCTATGTAACATTTGTTTTAAAAATTGTGATCAAATATTACAGTAATAGGTATTGTTTTGAGGTCAAGCGAAAATCAAACAAAGTATAAACTCAAACTGACATAGTTTCTTCAGAGCCGTTAAGAAGGAGGGGGGCGTAGGGGAAGGTGTCTAGCCCTCTAAGAATTTTATTAGTCGGCAAATTAAACACTAGAGTCGGCAAAATTGGATTAATAGCTGGAAGTCGGCAAATGTCGGAAAACGAGGAACTTTTTTTTTTTATGTAAGTTAGTGGGCAAAAAATTTTTTTGGCTATTGTCGGCAAAAAACAGACACGGTACCCCTCCTTTAAAATCTATTCAAGAAGGCCCTGAATTTCTTAACCAGTAAAAATTTCAAATAAAATTTTATTTAGAATTTTGTACAGCTATAAGCTACATAGGAACCAATTTTTATTAATTTATATGTAATGACTCTCATTTTACAGGTAACTTTATTGTCATAATTTAAAGCCAAAATTTCACTTAACTTAAACAAAAAATTAAAAGACTTCAAAATTTGTATCATAGGATACCTTAATGTAAACGCCATTATCCCATATAATGGCGTTCTTAGGTCAGCCAGGTTGGCATTATCATGATGCGTGCAGTGCCGGATCATTTTCAAGTTCTGGCTCATAAAACGGCCTCCATAAACAAAAATAGCCCCGTGCCCAAAGAAATCTAGGATCCGTGTCAACCACGTACGATATTATTTAAACATTTGCGTTTCCTTAAAATGTTAACGAAATTCTCGTTTATACATAATTTCTTTATTGCAAAACTTTCTAGAACTAATAAAATATTAAAAAAACTGTCATAAAATACTATTATTATTAAAACAAAAACCGCCGTTAAAAAACACTCTTTAAGCTTTGTCGCGACTTTTTTTATGTGCATAATCCATCAATTTGAATCACTAAATAATAATTTTTTGATCTAAATTAAGATATTATATTTTGATTTTTTTTTTTTTTTGAAATTTAAATTAACTAGAACAAAAGAATAAATTCATCTTCTCTAGCTTATGGTAAATTATTATCGTGAGAGTTAAAAAAGGCATCGGAGAACGTTTTTTAATATTCCATATCAAAATTCCTGAGGGAATCGTAATTGGTTCGTCTTTCAAATATAATTAAACAAATAAGTATATATAAGTATAATATATATATATATATATATATATATATATATATATATATATATATATATATATATATATATATATATATATATATATATATATATATATATATATATATATATATATATATATATATATATATATATATATATATATAATATATATATATATATATATATATATATATATATATATATATATATATATATATCGCAATAACAAATTCTTTGCATTTAAATAACTTTAGACTTGATAAAATAAGTTTAAACCAAAATTAAGTTCCATCTTTTTCAATTTTTATATTTAATAATACATGAAAATTTTAAAATATAAAATTTTATAGCTATAAACAATAAAGTAAACAAAATTTTTTTTATATGAAAATTTATAAAAAAATAGAATTTTATTTATAAGAAGTAAATACGGATTTCTCTAACTTTTACAGAAAAAAATTCGTCAGTTATATTTTATCAACAGGTAAACTTTATATATATTAAAACTAATATAATAATCAAATAATTATGCAACTCGTTTGCTGCTTTTCTAAATTATTCAAACAGCTTGCAATATTACGTTTTGTTTTCACTGTATCCGGATGGTTAATACCTAAAATTTCAGTTTGTATTTTATCAACAGAATAATAAATTTCTAAAGCTTCGTTATATTTTCCCATATTGTCCAAACAGCTTGCGATATTATGTTTTGTTATCATTGTAGACGGATGGTTGATACCTAAAATTTCACTTTGTATTTTATCAACAGAATAATAAATTTCTAAAGCTTCGTTATATTTTCCCATTTTGTTCAAACAGAGTGCGATATTATGTTTTGTTATCATTGTAGACGGATGGTTGATACCTAAAATTTCAGTTTCTATTTTATCAACAGAATAATAAATTTCTAAAGCTTCGTTATATTTTCCCATATTGTTCAAACAGATTGCGATACTATGTTTTGTTGTCATTGTAGACGGATGGTTGATACCTAAAATCTCAGTTTGTATTTTATCAACAGAATAATAAATTTCTAAAGCTTCGTTATATTTTCCCATATTGTTCAAACAGTTTGCGATATTATGTTTTGTTGTCATTGTAGACGGATGGTTGATACCTAAAATTTCAGTTCGTATTTTATCAACAGAATAATAAATTTCTAAAGCTTCGTTATATTTTCCCATATTGTCCAAACAGCTTGCGATATTATGTTTTGTATCAAGCGTGATTAGGTTATTTTCACCATAAGTTTCTGTATTAAATTTTTGAACAGCTTTTAATATTTCGATTGCTTCTTCAAATAAACCTTTACATACTAATAACCTTTGAATAGAAGTCGTCATATGATGGAAGGTTTCCAAAAGTTTTTTTCCGTTAGTGTGAAACATATAGATAAATTGAAAAACAAAATGATTTCCGTAATCTATGTGATCTTTTACTTCATTTAATTCAACTTTGAAACAATTTTCAATTAAATCGAGGTGTGTGTTTGTGCTTGAATTTCTTTTTTGAAAACATTTACATGTTAACTGTGTCAGTTCGTGTATTGTATATTTTTTATCATCAAAACAGTTTAGTAAAGAATAACTCATTAGTAATCCAATAGCTTCATCTATTAAAGATTCATCGTTTGTTTCCATTTGATTTGAGATTTTTGTTATAAACTGTTTACTGATGTTTTGACCGTCGCAATGAGATAAACAGTTTAATATTTTAAATGGAAAAGGTTTAGTTTTTTCTAATTTTATTAAAACTAAGTTAATTGCTTGTATTGCCGACTTTGATTCTTCTTCGGTTGGAAAGTTATTATTGTCTAATATTTCTGATGGTTTCGATCTATATCGATCAATATATTTTTCTATCGAAATTTTGTGTATATTTATATATTTTATTGCTTGAGTAATTGCAAACGGATGATAACCAAGTTCTTTAATTAAGATTTTTATGTTTTCGTCGCTGTTTTCTTTAATATTTTTTTTTACATAAGTAAATGCTTCCTCGGCGTGAATATCATTTTGTTGATAAAATACCAACTGTTTGAACCCTAATCCAAAAATAAATGTGGGTTTTGATCAACCTGAACATAGAAAAGCTAGAAGAACTTTATTAAAAAACCCAATCACTTCTTTACCATGTTCTAGTAAAATGCAACCTGTAGAACCTTTGTTGACTGAAAAAAGTATTTTTACAGAGTTTCCAGGTGTTAGTTTTAATGCAGATGTTTTATCAGCTATATTATCAGACCATACGTATTCATTGAGTTTACCACTACCAAATAAATGTAATTCTTGCGAATACAAATCTTCACTTATCACTTCTTATGCGAGTAAAAAAAATAGCCTTACTAATCAGGTAAAAAAATTAAAAATAAAATAAACAGTAAAATTCGAACAAAAATTTGGAGACTAGTTAACAATGATAAAAAAATGAACTTTTATACTAGTATATCTTCCATTGCTATTTTTAACGTTTTTTTTTGGTTTGTTAAAACCATTTTTACCCTCCATTCGTTATTGCAGATATTTTTTTGTATTTCATTTATACGCCGCGTTTTATGGAAGCTTAGCGTTACACTCCCAAACGAAGCACGTTTTAATGCATGGAAATGTGATTATAATAAAGAAGTTTTTAAAAAAAATAAAACTGAATTTATTATTGATTCAAAAAAAGTATTAAAACGTGGAAGTATGATTATGACCCAGAAAGGTTAGTTCAAGACAAAAAAACAGGTGATTACTATATTATTAATTTAGCGGTAGGTCAAACTCCCGATTAATTGAATGGTCTTTCAAAAAGTGGCTTTAAATTTGTTAGCAAATTACTTACTACGCTGACAAAAGGCATATAGCAAAAATATGCTATATGTCTTTTGTCAGCGTAGCTAGCTGTTAAAGTTTCAGGTTAAGCTTAGCTTGTTAATGCTTTATAAACACAAATTAAACATCCTATTGACTTAAATTCTAATATTAAT